CCACATGGCTGGTGGCCTACTGGCATCTTCACATGCTGCTGGTCATGGCAGTGGCTGGCAGTGTCTCTCTGCCTCAGCCTTCTGCTTCCCAGAATTCTCCTCTCTCCTTGTCCCACCTACTTCCTGCCTGACCACTGGCCAATCAGTGTTTTATTTATTGACCAATCAGAGCAACAGATTTGACATACAGACCATCCCACAGCAGGTATTTGTAGCCAGGAGCAGCTTGTATGGCTGGCTGGCTTGGTTTGGGTTGTCAGAAGCAGGCAGGGTGTAATAGTAAGCAAGCTGCATGAGAAGCAGGACCTGATCATGGAATTCCCTGTTTTGTGTTACAAAGATTGCTCTTTCTTATCTATTCAGTAAATGCATATATTAAAAATCTACTAAATGTGAATTCTCATTGAGACAGATTTGTAGTTCTTTTTGTTGTTGTTCTCATGGAGCTTTTAGTATAAAAGGGACAGACAGACATTAAGCTAATGATCATACACTTATTTAATTGCACACACGATAAGCATCTTCTCTGTGGAAGTTAATGATGTGTAGTGAGAGTTGTAACAGGGAAATCTAACTTAGTTAGTCTAGGGTCCAATAGTTCCCCAAGTAGGTAACACAAAATATGAGACCTGTGTAGATACTAGTCAGCTAAAGGAGGCTCATTTGGACACTTTGGAAAGAGGGTTTGGACAGAAATGACATGGACAAAGGTCTGGAAACAGAGTTAGGTGGAGTTTTATAGAAACAGGCAGGTGGGAAAGTCACATGGCCATATCTTCATCTGAGCAACCATTCTGTGTGCATTGTGAGGGATACAGGATGGAGAGTGTGGTGGTTGGTTTTATGTTCTGAGGGCAAAGGGATGGCCTGATAGCAGGCCAAGCTTTAGTGCTAGGTGTGCCCAGCGGCTGTCTCAGGAAGAGACTAGCATTTGATTCAGTAGATCCAGCGAAGAGTACCACTCAGATGTGCACACAGCATCCTCCAGTCCCTGAGGGCCCAAGAACAAAAAGGCAGAGGAAGGAGCAAGTGTCTCTCACTTCTTGGGCTGGAACTTCCATGCTCTTGTGATGAGGAGAAGGAAACTTGACAGGTAGTTAGGGTGGGGACCTCCAAAACCAACCCGGTCTGTCCTGGCCAGGAGCCAGTAATGGCCTTGATTCTATGGCTGTTCTGTCCTGGCTGAAAATGCCAGACATGATTTGGCCAAGAGGCATTGGTTTGGTTCATGTCCTAGGTTATTTATGTATTTATTTACTCTTTCTTCTATAGTATAGCAACCTAATGAATATAGCTTTCTGGAAGCTACGCATGAGAGATTCTTCACTGGTCTTTGAATACTTGTGCCAGAATCTCAACCCAGTCACCAGAATGGAGAGACATCCTGTCCACTGTGGGGACTTATGGCTGGGCCGGCTGGGCTGACCAGCCCATGTGTCCTTACATCTTGGCCCAGTCATTTCAAAGACTTATCTACTTCTTTAGTCAAAAAGTTTTTTTTAACTCCTGGACAAAGCCCCTCTCTTGAGACTCCCTCCACTTTCTATACTTGCTTTCTCTCTATAATAAAGCTCCTTGTTGAACTTATTCTTCATTATTTGTGAAATTCACTCTTTGAGTTTGCAACACCAAGAACCTGGAATGTCCATTGATGCCATAGAGGTTTGAGCGACTGTGACCCTGACCACGGAGTTAAGCCCACTTGAGACTAGAAAGTCTCTGACATACTTAGGGAGCCGCCATTTTCCCACCTCATTTGGGCATCAGTGCTCCTGGTTCTTAATGCTTTGGACTCAGGGTGGGATTTACATGATCCACATTTTTCTGAACTTCCGTTGTTTGGATGGGACGGTATTGTTGGCGTAGGTAGGCACCAACTTGGAAGGAACAGATGGTGGAACTTCCATGCCTCCAGCATCATGTGTCAGGTGCCCACAGTAAACCTTCCCTTATATCTCCAGGCACCATATTGGTTCTATTTCCTTGCAGACTCTTGGATAACACTGGATTTGTAGGAGGCAGTCTGTGCGACGTTGTGACCCATCTGGTGGGAATGACAAAGTGACAGAATTGCGACAGAGTGGACAGAGGAGATGGAAGAGACTTGGCAGATATTTAGGGCTTTGAACTGGCTATACCTAATGACAACTAAGTTAACTATGGGAACCATGGAGAAAAATGTCAAAAGAGTAATCCTTAGATATTTGGATGGAGCCCGGTGTGAATGGTGAGATAAGGACATGAAGGACCAGATTCGGTGGGTGGCAGGGATGAGGGGACAGAATAAGCTTCAGTGTGGATGCCTTTACCTTGAAAGTAGATAGGCAACTGGATGCGAGAACCAAATCTTCAAAAGATTGCAGAGCAAGAGTTCCAGAAATAGGAAATGTTAGCAGAGAGGTAGGTGGCGGTAGAAGCCCTGACACCTGAGAACTCTCACAAAAGAATGTGAGCCCGGTGAGAAGACAGGAGAGTCAAGGCCCGAGCCTCTGTGAGAGTGACTGAGAAGCTAGATTCCCGAGAACTAGCAGTGATGCCATGAGGTGGACCCGGAGACTCTTGGTGCCCTTCCTCCAACTCCATGACTTTCCTTCTCCTAGGCAAACCCTAATTCAGTAGAAATTCTCTGGCTTAGATCCAGACCGCGTGCCAACCGTCTCCCCACCCAGGCAGTCAGGAGCTCACACCACACTCGAGTTTAGAGGCTGTGCAGATAGATGCAGGAAATGACAGAGAAGTCAAGACTGAGAACTGTAAACGGATTTACTGGATCGACACTGTGATAACGTTGACTCACAAAGTGACTTTGTGAAGAGAAACAATGACTTGTAGTTTCCAGGACGATCCACGTGGATTTGGGGATGTGAGCCCGGTGTCTGAGTGGGAGACTAGGCCTTGTCATGGAGATCCGGCGTCTGTCTCAAGCTGATGGTTGGAGTGATAGGGCTTGTGTTTGCCAGAATGTCCCATCACCCCCCCTGAAAAATTCATTTCAGTCTGAGCGCTGTTTCCTGTGTCTAGCTCCGGAGTGCTGGGATTACAGTCGGTGCCACTGTGCCCTGTTTACACGGAGCTGGGGATTGAACCCAGGACTTTGTGCGGGTGAGCAAACAGTCCACCAACAGAGCTCTATCCCCCAGCCATAAAAGGTGGCTATTTACTCATGTTTACTTCTCTTTGGTGGCAGTCCCCTTGGGATCTGAGGGATCTTCAGCAGAATGTGGTGGTGGTGGTGGCGGCGGCGGCGGCGGCGGCGGCGGCGGCGGCGGCGGCAGTGGTGGTGGTGGTGGTGAATGATCCACATTTGGGAATTCAGGTCTCCAAGGCAGCAGTGCCAGCCTACTGCCTCTGCCCCAAGTCGACATCATATACAAATGTGCCTGGGGTCTCATGGATGTGATAGTGTGTGGCCTGGGGATTGGGGCCAGGCTGATATATTCTCAGGGTCAATGGAGTTAGAGTCACTTTCCAGATTCATCTCACACAAACGAGTCTGGACCAGAAAAGAGAGGGTTTCCAAGGAGACCGTCCCGAATTTCACATTTCTTCAGAATCCTTCGTGATGAGGGGATGTCCTCATCACTTTCTGCTGATCTCACATCAGCCTTGTATTCTCCCAAGTTCCTGCTGGGGAGGGGCTGACTGGCCCCACCCTTCTCCACAGATGCCTGCTCTTCTGGCAAGCTCCTCGTGTCCTCAGAACCCTCAGAACTAAGGGTAAACAAAGAGCCCTCATCAGAATCAGACTCGTAATTGGCCACCAAGTCATAAAGAGGGTCAAAAGGAGCACCTCTCAGCACAGGCTCCTCAGGGGCAGGTGTGACATGAGGGCCACTGTCCCACCTTGGTGTAAGGGAGGGTGGGTCTACATCTCTTGGGTCAATGTGTAGGACCTCATCGTAGACATCTGAAAACCTTTCCTCAGCATCGGCTTCCTGGAAGCTTGGCTGCCGTGTGGCCAGCCCCCTAATGGAATCGCTCACCTGCCTTTCCTCAGAAGATTCCATCAGTGAGCCCATAGCTCCCAAAGCTTCAGGGGACCCCCTTTCCTTACTCTCTCCAGACCCTTGTGTGTTCATATGTACTAGAGTATTGGAGACAGGAGCTACAACATCTCTTGACTGTGACAGGCGCAGTTCATTGCATCCACTATCCTCTGTTCCCAGAACGGAAGACCTATCCATCACATCCTCATAGAGAGAATATTCCGGAACCACTGTGTCATAATGTAATTCTTCGGGAACATCGCGGTGATCCTGCACGGCCGAAATCAGCTGGCGAGTGTCAGCGTTCGGAAGTCCATGGAGAGCCGCGTGGGCTGTGTGGCCATATGGAAGCACGTCACAGTCTCTATTTCCTGCCCCAGTGTCGTCCTCGGGTTGCCCCGGGCTCTGTTGACTGCTGAGATCCATTTTGCTGTTCCCTAGGACCCTTTCTGCCATGGCAGCACTGTATGGGGTTGGCTCTGTCACCTGGGAGGGGTTCTGTCTCTCATAAAGGTTTAGGTGGCGGGAAGCTTGGTGCGGCTCTGTCCCTTGGTGCTGTACTCGTCGGGGAGCTTCGACGTCATCATAGAAACCCTCGTTTGAGTAAGCATTTTCTGAGCCAGGCCTTTTGGTCAGGCATCTTTGCTGCCACAGTCTGTCGATATAAGGCCTAGCGAAAGCGCCCAGGCAGAAAGCCACCAAAAACGTGCTGAACACCGACAGGCAGATGGGCAGGACAAGGTCTGGGGCGTCATCCTTTCTGTCGGTGACGTGTTCATCCTCGGAGTCTCTGAGTTCTGTGGGGGGCTGTGGCCATATCTCCTTGAGATCATCATAGTCCACCTGCGCCTCCTTCTCCAGAGCTGAAAGGTGACTGTCTATTCCTCCCTGGGGTCTCTCTGCTTTGTTCTGCATGAGGCTTTTCACATCACTCGGAGTAGGAAGAAGGTGCGTATTCCTGGAAATTCTGATCTGGGGGGTCTCCAAATATGGCTTCTCATTCCCTGCAAGAGGGGGATGGGAAAACAAACTGACTAGATGTTGGAATAAGACTCCAGGCTTTCAGAGCTTCTGTGAGCCCTCCTCAATCTGTAGCTAGCTATGTTTTCAAACATTCATCAAGTTAACAGGTAATCTTATTCATTCATGTGTTCGTTCCTGTTCATTGCCCACAGTGTGCACATGGCTCTGTATACATTTTCACGAGACTGTGAGACATAGGCCTACTTCTCACAGGCCCAAGAGGTTGTGTTTCTGAGGCAACCTGCCCAACTGCTGCCCACAGGTGGAAGCAGCCAGATGGGAGGGCTAACACATGGCTTCTCCTTCCTCCATACCCTCAACTACTTCTCATTTGCTAGAACATTCTATTAAGCCTCTATTGCATCTGCTTCTGCCCTACTTGTTGTAGGTTCCTCACCATTCTCCAGTTCTGGTAAATAGTAAAGCACCCACTGTTCTTCTCTTCTGCCCTACACACTCAGAATGCTGGTCCTGGCTGGAGACTTTCTTTAATCAATCATTAAGAATTGAGATGAAATCTGCAACATTTTGGGGGTGAGGCTTCCAGGCAAAATTCTTTTCTAGCTAAAGAAATGTTATGTTTCTTTGATCATGTGAAAAAAAAACTGTCAGAAGCCAAGGAAACCAGTTAAGCACTAGGGATTGTCCTGTGACTCAGTCCAAGGCTGAATGGGGTGGGGACCAGTGTGGTGGTATTGTGTTCCCCAAAATATTGTGCACCCTAATAAACTTATCTGGGGTCAGAGACAGAACAGCCACAATATTAAACATAAAGGTTAGGCAGTGGTAGCACACGGCTTTAATCCTAGCATTCCAGAGGCAGAAATCCATGTGTTCAAGGATACAGCCAAGCATGGTGACTCACACCTTTAATCCCAGGGAGTGAGGCAGAAAGCAGAAAGATATATAAGGCGTGAGGACCAGGAACTAGAAGCATTTGGCTGGTTAAGTGTTTAGGTTTTGAGCAGCAGTTCAGGTGAGAGCCATTCAGATATGAGGACACAGGGGCTTCCAGTCTGAGGAAACAAGATCAGCTAAGAAGTTGACCAGGTGAGGTGAGCTATGGCTTGTTCTGTCTCTCTGACCTTCCAGTGTTCACTCCAATAACTGGCTTCAGGTTTGATTTTATTAATGAACTTCTAAGATTCCTGCTACAGACCAGCATCCTTGTTTTTTGAGAGACTGTCACTACTTTTAAGGAGACTGCCTTCTTACGTGCATTTTCCAGGCCAAATGAAACTATTTCAGAACAACAGCAACAACAACCAGAGAGAGAGAGAGAGAGAGAGAGAGAGAGAGATGCCACTCACTTACCCACAGACATGTTGCAGATAGCATTCCACTTTTCCCTCCAGGATGCAGAGGTGACGTTTTGGAAGTTGGCATTGTTCTCACCACACTGCCACTGGTTATCAGCCAAGTCAAGTTCCAGGTGGGGTAATTCTAGAGCAATGGTCACAATGGGTGCAAGGGTGGTCAGTGCATTGCTTCTGAGGTCTACCACCTGCTTGAAAAGAGGTAAATGTAGGTCAGTCTGTGCACAAAGACAGTGAGGTAAGAAACTATAAGGAGTTACACACAGATATTTCTAGCTCTACAAAAGCAATAGATATTTCTAGCTCTACAAATTTAGGTCTGGTATAAAAGTCAGTGAATACCGGGCTTGAATCCCTGCCCTGCCCACAAAGCCTCTGCGTCTTGGCAATTGTTTGCTTTCTGTGATCCCACCTCCTAGCGTTGTTCATGGGTTAGATGCTTACAAAAGCTTTTCAGACATCCAGACACTTCATGTTCTTTATTTACCATATAACCTATGGCAAATCCCAGACTCACATACTATTATCGTTCAGAATTGGATCCAGGTCAAGAATTTCTCAAAACATCACCATCTTGGACATGACAATGGATGTGAACAATGAGGCCAGGAAGCACAAAAGAATTATGTGTGGTTGGTTGACTACCTTTGATAGTGGTACGTGGTTCTTAGCGAATTTGCGTCTTCAGTATCTGCAAGATGACCCATTTCTCCTGGACAATTAGAAACGCATGGAGAACCAGAGGACAGAGATGATTCAGTGGCTCAAGTGGCAGGCCAGGGTGTGCTAAGGCTGGGCACAGCAGCATGTGGCACAGCAGGGAAATTATGTTGGGTCTGACTGTGCCTACTGACAGCAGATCAGCGTTGTATACCAGGCATTCTGCGGAGCGGTTTATATATGTTTTCCCAGATTCCCCCAACAATTACCATGGCTCCCCTTTCACAGTGTATCCCATGGAACGTACTTGGTAGAGGGGTCTGGATCAGAACAGGCACTCAGCAAATATCAGAAACTATAAATCTGGTGTGGTGGTGCATCGTAATCCCAGCACTTAGGAGGTAGAGACAGGAGGCTCAGAAGAGAAAGGGCAGACAAAATACCAAGCTTGAGACCACCCTGAGCTGCGTAAGTCTCTGTCCCAAATGAAAATAGCAACAATGAATAGGAATGCTGGAGAATTCAAGGACAGAGTAGCAATGCTTTCTGGTCTCCTAGCTGTGTGCCTTCACTTCAAAACACACCCTCTCTGAGCTACCACATTAGTGTGGAGGAGACATTTGGGGACCGTCAGGCAGTGACAACAGAACTATATGTCAGAAAACAGAAAATGCCAACCTTACTTCAACAAAAGAGGACATGAGTGCAAACAAGAAGGGTCACTTATCCCCAACGACAACATTTTCTCCTCCATCCCCCAAGAATAGTCAAATTTTCACTATATAGTCCAGGCTGGCCTCAAACTCATGGTAATTCTCTTCACTCAGCCCCTTGATCAAGGCCAGTTTCTAAATAAACATCTCAGGTTATACAAATTCCTAAGATGAGGTAAGTCTAACAACTAAAAGACTTCACCACAAAAAAAATCACTAGAAATACAACTGAGTTTTTCATGAACTTTAATGAGGGTGATTTGCCTGGGTTGAGCAGCCATGCGGCCTTGACTCTTCCTGAAACCAGGAAGCAGGAGGCCAGGACAAGGAGGGAAAGCATCCACTTGGGCCTGGTGTTGCCCAGGGATGGGGGTTGTCCCCCACTGGTGCCCTGGCTCAGCATCACACTAAGTTATCCTCATGCTTTCTGAGGAGATATTTCCTCTTTGGTGTATTTTTACATTCTAGCATTTTTTTTTTATATTACAAATCATGGAGCTGAAAGTCAGCGTGGAGGAAAGAAAATGAATGAAATAATTCAGGAAGAATGATTTCTGAGAAAAGACGAGAACAGAATTGCAACTTAGCAAAAGAAACCCCCATCCTACAGCATTTGAAAGGCACATATATTCCGGGAAGGCTGGGAGACGGACAGCGTATTGCTACACAAATCACTGTATCTAAGAAGAATGAGATAAGATTAAGAAGAGAAAGGCTAATTTGAAATGTCGGTGAAACTCACTCCATCCTGTTTAAGTACGCTGATGGATTTATGTTTTAAAAATCTATTTGGCTTCCGGGAAGGTGCCCCAATGGGAAGACAGACACAGCAGTGCAAATGTGAAATTCATCTTCCAGAGGGAAAAAGCCAACTACTGTGATAGTCAGCTTCCCGGCGCCAAACATCTTCATCATGGTCCACAGCCAGTGTGTGGAGTTATTGCCAACCACACAGGAGGGAACCCTGAGCAGGGAACTCGATGAATATTCCCAGTACTGGTGAGTTGGGGATTATGGCTATATTCCAAACATGCTCAGAGCTGATTTATAGTTTGCCCATGCTATTTTTAACCCTGGAGCTTCGAAGACCCATGAAGTTCAATAAAATGCACAGGAGAGGAACACACAGGACGAATTCCACATCCAGATGTACCTGTCACCAGTACGCACTAGTTAAGGCTCCTCCACAACTTGCCAGTCTCCTGTCAGCCAAGTGGAGAGCCCAGCCAAGCGAAGTGGGCTCTTCCGCTCTGACAACTGCCGTGGCAGACAGACCCCAGAGTGGCCCGCACGACCCTACCTTCTGGTATGCAGGCCCTTAAGCCATCTCTTTCCCCCCAGTGCAGGCAGGATAGGCTATTTGGTTTCCAGCCAATAGACTCTGCCAGCGCCAGCAGTGGATGCCACTTTCGTGAAGATGACTTCCCATACCATAGAGATGCTCTTCTTATGCGGAGCAGAGAATGCCAGAGAGGCTACTACCTCCAAAGCAAGATGCCACGGCGTGAATAGCCTGGTGGAGAAGGCTTCCGGGCAGAAACCTGAGGGCAGGCTTAAGCCAAAAGCTGGTAATGAACTGAGTCTTCAAGTCCAACCGCCCAATAAGGAAGCAAGTCCTGTCTGCTTTGCTTAGGTGCCCGTGGTGGGGCTTTTAGGCTAGACCCCAGTGGCGACACCAGTTTAGGTCTCTTGAGCGACCATGAGGTGGAGGCCCCAGCTGAGTCACGTCAGAATCCCTGTCCCACAGACAGATGTGTGTGGTCTTAAGCCACAAAGCTGTGGTCAGTCACCATACAGCAATAGACCACTGGTGCGGCCACTCAGGAGCATCGCCCATTGTGCATCCCCTTGTTCATTCAACCGCCGCTCAAAATGCCCTCAGCTTAGCCCCCGGAAACAAAGTCAGGCATGATGTGTGCTCTCCAAGAATGTGATTACCATTTAGTGTGGGCAGGACCGGGGGTAGGCATGGACGACTCACTGTGCTCAAGACTTGCAGGCACCAGAGCCAGGAGGAAACATGCAGCCCCATTGTGAGCTCGCGAAAAGAAAGACTTAAGGCATGCATGCCTCTGAGCGGAAGTGATGGACCAAAGTTGGAGGGACTCATAGCCCGAGTTCTTGCAAGGTAAAGGGGAGAAGCAAGTGGGGGTGGAGGAGACCTGAAGGGCAGGCAGGAAGGACAGTGGCACACAAGGGGACAGACAGCCCTGCACAAAGGGACAGAGTGTGAAGTGGGTCTGGAGAGGCAGCGAGGGGCTGGGCCCTGGCTGTGAAATCTTGGCAGGGTTCTAAGAAAGAGGAGCAGCACGGTTAGATTCGTGTACTAGAGAGCGCACATCCCCCCAGGTCCTGTTCTAAGCACTCCATGCATAGTTAAGCTTCTCATCCTCACAGGGAACTACCTTCTTTCTGTTACACAGACAGGGGACTGGGGTGCAGTCCCCTGGTAACTGGCCCGTGAAGCGGTGGACTCTAGTCTGGATCCAGCCAGTTTGCTACCCACCTGATCACTGCTTTCTCAGTCTCCCATCCACGATGAGGGTTTAGGGAGCCATGGTGGGTGAATGGGAGAGGTGCAGGCTTTTTGTTTGTTTGTTTGTTTGTTTTTCGAGACAGGGTTTCTCTGTGTAGTTTTGGAGCCTGTCCTAGAACTCCCTCTGCAGCCCAGGCTGGCCTCGAACTCACAGAGATTCGCCTGGCTCTGCCTCCCGAGTGCTGGGATTAAAGGCGTGCGCCACCACCGCCTGGCTGGAGGCCTGTTTTTAATAGCACTTTATGAAATGCTGGGGAAGCATCCGTGGTCTCTGTCCAGGCTGCCTAATGTGACAGTCGTTTGCCATGTGTGGCCACTGAGCGCTGAGATGTGGAGATATAAAACACACACTAGAGACTGAAGGCTTTGTTTGAAAAATGGAATGTGAACTACCACCTTAATAACTTTATATTAATTATACCTGTAAACGCTGTTCTATTGGCTTAAATAATGTACATTATTAAAGGGTAAGCTCTTCATTTCCCTTTTAAAAAAGGATTTATGTCTAAGCATTTTTAATTACATGTAAGTATGTGCACATGAGTGCAGATGCCTTCGGAGGCTCTGGCCTTGAGCTAGAGTTACAGGTGGTTGTGAGTCACGTGATGTGGGTGCTGGGAATTGAACGTCTTCTTGGGAGTAGTGCATGCTCTTAACTGCTGAACCATCTCTCCAGCCCCTCAATTTCATTTTTAAAGTCTGGGCATTGGAACATTTGAAATCGCACGTGTGTCCAAGTTTGTAGTAAACAGCAGTGACCTAGAAAAGTGTGTGTGTGTGTGTGTGTGTGTGTGTGTGTGTGTGTGTGTGTGTGATGGAGGTAATAATGATAGGGACTGAAGAGTCTCTCAACTTCCCTGGCAGTCCCTCTGATATGTCTGAAGGCCACTGATAGGAGCCGTCACACTGTCCTTATCGACGGGAAGGACGTGAAGAAGAGTTTGTAAGAACAGGACTTAGTAGTTCCTCAGCTTCAGCCCTATCAGGGAGACAGTTTACAAGGCTCACAGCTCTGAAATGTGAATAGATGCCCAACTAGGAACGTCAGAGGTGTTTGGAACACCAAATGGCATGTGGTAAGTGATGCACATGTGTGTACTATGATCACCGTCATTTTTATTGCCCATGCATGCTTTGGATATTAAAACTACAGGCCACTGGCCAGTAGCAACCTATATGATCCTGAGCTGCTGACATCTCAGCGTTGGCCACAGTGGCTCAGAAGGACCTCCCAATGCCCCAGTTTGTGCAACAGACCTGGTACCTCTGACTGAACTTGCAGCCTAGGCAGGTGGCATTATTTGTTTATTTGTTTGTTTGTTTCATTCTGTAACCCTGGCTGGCCTGGAACTCCCTAAGCAGATTAAGCTGGTTTCAAACTCTTTAAATAACACATTTAATTTCTTGCCAACTGGTAAATGGAAACTTGGAGTTGAATCTAATTTGATTTAGATAAATAATATACCAAATTCTTTCTTTCATTTTTAGATAGTGTCTCTTGCAAGCCAGCTGGCCTTGAACTTGATATGCATGTAGGTACGACCTTGGACTTAATGATCCTCTTGCTTCCATTACCAAACCTCCAGAATACAGGTGTATGCTGGGGATCGAATCTAGGGTTTGTGACATTCTAGGCAGGTCCTTTATCCATTCAGCTGTATCTACAGCCTAATGATGTGAATTCTTGCGGCTGAGAATTCTTATTAAGTTTGTGTCCATGGTTGTGGTCTTTGATTTTTTGAGCAATAGATTTCAGTTGTTTTAGGAGCTCTTAAGTAGACTCACACACTTTGATTAACAGCCAGTAGCCCTGCCCATGGAGACCCCCTTCAAAGGAAGTAGCCCTCTAATCTAATTGGCCACAAGTCTGTATAGTTAAGACAGCTATAAGAAAGACTTTAGAACCTGTAATTTTTTGAGGTCCTTGAAGGCGTCTGGGTGAACAGTGCGTATCTTGTTGCTCTTTAAATAGACGCGCTCCAGCTGGAGGCAGCTATGAAAATCAGACAGCCCAATGTGAACGATCCTGTTGAATGACAGATCCAGACTCTGCAGCGACTCCAGCTTCCACAGTCCTGGGAAAAGGAAAGGCAAATGAAAACCCAAATCTGGTGCTATTGGTGGCTGCATAGTGGGTGGTGGAAAGTTGGGGATGTTGACGGCCCTCAGGTGGGAAGCTGCCAAAGTGTATTAACGCTGTGAAAAACTAAGTGGTCTTAAGAGAGACTGGGCCAATTCGCATGTGAACTTATTAAACAGGAAGGAAAAGATTAAGTCAAAATAGTACAGAATATAATAATGACAATGTTCTTGAGGGGTATACACATACAAACATATGTAGATATGTATTTTGTGGCGACAGAAATAAGGAGGTGAGTGAAATTATCAATAATCATTGAAGTTTGCTGTAGGACGGCTGAGGGAAGGGAAGAGGGGTATGGACAAAGCTTTCTTTTAATTTTATACACATTGGTTCTTTCTTTCAAATGAGCATGTGCTATTTTTTTTATCACACATTCATTTATTATTTATCTTCTGTGTATTTGTGTGTGGATGGCACAGTGCATGCATGGAGGGCAGAGGGGAACTACCAGTAGCCATTCTCTCCTTCCACCTTGGGGGCCCCAGGATTTGAACCCAGATCATCAGGCTTGGCTAGAAGGACCTTTCTTTACCTGGTGAGTTGTTTTACTGGTCTAGTGTGTGCTCTTTTTAAATTAAAGAATCGATTTTTAAAATTCTAACCATGATTAAGCAAGGTGATGAGCAGATATTTGTCAATTTGATTAACCGTGAGTAAAACTGAATGATTTCCCTATGATAACACAGGAGAAACTTACCCTGAGGTTTATTATTACATAAATGAATTCTTCCAATTTTAAAGTTTCTTATTCAGTTATTAAAGCTTCATTTTTTAAATCTCTCATTGCTTGTATTCATTCTACATTGTCCTGTAAGAATATTGTTGTGCAAGTGTATTGTATGTTGAGTGTATCAGCCTCCCCTTCCTCCCTGTTTGTCCTTTGTTCACTTGGAGGGTTCCAATTCTGCTTCCATTTCTCTCTCTCTCTCTCTCTCTCTCTCTCTCTCTCTCTCTCTCTCTCTCTCTCTTTCTCTCTCTCTCACACCTTTATTTTTAGTCATTTCCATTCTCATAACCGTTTACCATTGGTATTATAACCATATTCTAGGTATTCTTGGATATTTCAAAGGTAAAGAAACCACAGGCAAAGCCGGGCGGTGGTGGCGCACGCCTTTAATCCCAGCACTCGGGAGGCAGAGCCAGGAGGATCTCTGTGAGTTCGAGGCCAGCCTGGACTAC